AGATTCGAAGAGCATACCTTCTTTGTGACAATGTTGTACGACCTGTTTTCTGAATTACTTTGATTCCAAGGTAGTAAGTCAACTTTCCCAAATCACTCATATCAAATTTAGAAGCCATCTCTTCCTTGAACCTTCCGATGATCTTTGAGCAAGTCCCTGTGACGAACAAATCGTCAACATATACATCAACCACCAATGTATTCTCTTTTGTTGATTTCCTGTAGACTGAGTGTTCTTTAGAGCACTTCTCGAACCCCAGTTCAAGTAGAATCCCATTGAGTTTGTTGTTCCATGCTCTAGGGGCTTTTTTTAATCCATAAAAAGCTTTGTGAAGTTTGTAGACTTTCTTCTCACAACCTTGTATCGCAAACCCTTCAGGCTGAGTGACATACACTGTTTCTTTTAGCTCACCGTGCAGAAACTCTGTCTTGACGTCAAGATGATGGACCTCCCATCGCCTGGTAGCTGCAATACTCACTAGTAGTCTAATGGTTTCAATTCTCGCTACTGGTGCATAAACCTCCTCGTAATCTACTCCATACTGTTGCACATATCCTTTAGCTACAAGTCGAGATTTGTGCTTCTTGATTGTGCCATCAGTGTTAAACTTGACTTTGAATATCCATCGCAGTCCAACGGGTTTTACTCCTTCTGGTAACTCGACCAAGCTCCAAACCTGATTTTTTCGATTGAATGTAGCTCATCTTTGCACACCTCTATCCACTCTTTCAATTCACTAGCCTCTTTGAAGTTTCTTGATTCTTCGTTTAGTGCCAGCAGTATAGTCTCTCCCTCAATATCAGCAATAAGGACATAATCCTCAAGATATTTTGGTCGTGACATTTGTCTCGTACTACGTCTCAGTTCCCTTACCTCATCTCTTCATTCTCACAGTCTTCTTGTATCTCCTGCTCATCAGATACCTCTTCAATATTTTGTTCCTCTTTAGCACCAATACCTCGTGTGTCTTGATTTTGAAGAGATTGATTCTGTACATGGGTTATTCCATGATTTCCAAACTCACCAAATGTCACACTGAAGTCATTGTAGAGATCATCATCCGTATCAAGTTTCTTCCAATTCCACCCTTTGCTTTCATCAAATACTACATCTCGGCTCACATATATCTTTTTCTTCGTCGGGTCACGTAACCTATACGCTTTGGCGCCAGGTTCAGTTCCGAGATGTATCAACATTCTTGATCTATCATCCAACTTTCTTAGGTGTGGTTTCTCTGTTGCAGCAAATGCAATGCATCCAAACACACGAAGATGTGATATGTTTAGTTTCTTACCTCGATAAACCTCATACGGATTTTGGTCCTTCGGTGACCGGGTAGCTATGCGGTTTATAAGGTATGTCGCATGACGTATAGACTCTCCCCAAAGGTAATTAGGCATGTGCATGTGCTTGAGAATACTCCTCGCCATATCCATAAGTGTTCTGTTTCTTCTTTCTACTACTCCGTTTTTTTGGGGGGTGTACGGTGCAGTTAGATGTCTCTTTATCCCTCTTTCTTCACAGTAGGTGATAAACTCATGAGAGATAAACTCTCCACCTCGATCCGTTCTAAACGTCCCAATGCTCACCCATGTTTCTTGTTCTATCACTCCTCGCAGTCCTTTAAACTTAAGAAAGGCCTCACTCTTCTCCTTAAGTAGACTTGTCCACATATATCTTGAGTGATCATCGATGATCACAAAAAAATATCTGCTTCCTCCTGCTGTACTTGGCGATATTGGGCCACAAAGATCTCCGTGCAATAGCTCCAATAGCCTAGTTGCTCTGTACACCGTCGCCTGTGGAAATACTTTCCTCGTCTGTTTTCCCAGCATACATGACGCACATAACTCCTTTAAGACGTTTACATTCGAGACGCCACTAACCAACTCCTTTTTGTAGCATGAGCTTCATTGTTGCCGAGTTAACATGTCCAAGTCTGGCGTGCCAGCGATTTGACTCGCTTATTTTACTTAGGTGAAGTTGATTTGCATCTCTAATGCCCATCCTTACCTTGTACAAGCGATTCTTTGATCGTGTTGCTCTAACAAGGAGTTTACCGTGGTGATCATGCATCGTGAGTCTATCATCTTTTAGTCGTATGTCACAACCTGATTCAGTCGCCTGGCCAAGACTGATAATATTACTTCTCAAATTTGGAATAAAATACACATCATTCATCTTCCTTGCTTCACCGTTCATATCTATGAATGAGATTGTACCTTTCCCTTTAATATCTATTTTCGAATCATCACCAAATCTGACCTTTCAAGATATTGTTTTATCAAACTTCGAGAAGTATCTTGAGTCACCTGTGATGTGGTTGCTTGCTCCGTTATCTAAATACCACACATCTTCCGTATCAGTAGCTGTTTCGTACTTCATTGGTTGACAGTTTTTCTCATTTAGGTATACGACTTCATGCATCATTAACTCATCTGCGTCTTGAGTATCATCTCTTTCATTCTCCAACGCTTCTTGTAGCTTCAGAATCCGATCAGGGCAGTCAGAGGCGTAATGCCCTGTTTTGTCCTCTGTAATAGGGTCTAGAACCACGTCCACGTCCCCTATAGTCTCTGTTATCTCTTGGATTTTTGTTGTACTCTCGGTTCCCTTGAGGGACTTGTGACTCGCGTTGATCTTCATTAGTGTACATAAGCTTCGGCTGTTCTTCTTGTGTATCTTCCTCTTCACGTATGCGTTCTTCGTAAGCTTTTATACGACCGAATATATCTTCAAAGCTCTTATTTTTAAGATCTAACACTTTTTCCAGAGAAGCTACCATGTGAATATAGTTCTTGCGTGGCAAGCTACTCAAGAATTTCTTTACCATCGTAGGCTCTTCGATATTCACTCCTAAAGCTGTAGATTTTGATGCGATTTCGGCGAGTTTTCCTCCAAAATCATCGACTGATTCCGTGTCTTTCATCTTTAGGCGATCGAAGTCTCAACAAAGTCTGCAGTCATGCTTCTTTAACTCTTTCAGCGCCAACATGTCTGGTTTTTATAGCTTCCCACATCTTCTTCGCCGTATTGAGTTCACCGACTTGTAACACCAAAGCTTCTGGTATAGATTGGATAAGCAACGCCATAGCCATATGTTCTTTCTTCTTGTCGGTAGATTCTTCTTCGATTGCTTCCCAGACTTCATGTACCTTCAGTGCTATCTTCATCATTATTGCCCAAATTGTGTAATTAGATGAAGTAAGCATAAAGCATCGTATGGACGACGATCCTCCTTCCCTCTTCAAACTCGTCTCAGCTGGTATGATCTCTCCGGCCATGATTCTCGAATTAGGGCTCTGATACCAAATCTAGAATTCAAAGATTTGATAGACTAACTCTCTTATTAATAACTTGAGAAACTAACTCAAAACTCAAGCTTACAATCTCCAAACTCTCTCAACAATATTGTGTCATACACGACACATATTTATATGGAGAGTTCATGTTTATCATAATCCTAATAGAAATACAATATAAGATAACTCCTAATTCTATTATGCTTCTTATCCATAACTCGGTTAGGATTAACTTGATCGCCTTGTGCTTCAAGTCTCTTTAGGATTCAAGCTTATCCCAACAAAAGATGCATCTGGTTTGGAACCACTAATATCTTTGCTCTCATATCCCACGATGTTTATCGACTTAATAACACCAAACCTGCATCAGAACAAGACGCAGAGGTCTAGTTTCTTAATTTACTAGCTTTTTAAGAGCTCAATGAACTAACAAAAAGAACAATCTCAGAGCTTAACCTGGCACATTCTAGACGTACATTCTCCAGAGTTTCTTTCACTTCTGGCTCGGAAAGCGAAGGTAGATCTTCTGGAGCAACCTGTCAAACAATAAAGAATAAAACTTTAGTAATAACCTCACAAAGCTTATGTGGGTGATATTCACAAGAAAAAAGGTAATCAAATTCTCACCAAGTTCTTAAGCTTTAGGATATATTTAGGCTTGCCAAGAAGTGGTTTTGCATGCTCAGTCTCATTAGCCTGCAACATATAATATATACTAAATCACTCTCACAAGTAACTAAATCAGTTTCTGTTCTATGTCAACCTTTCAAACACAAAATGCACTAACAAAACAAAAGTAAAGTTGGGTCATGGAATTACCGCTACAGATGATGCATCAGGAAGTGCTAAAACGGCAGTTATTACACTGCCACCTAACTTCATACCATTAAGGCCCGCACAAGCTTTGGGGGTAACAGATCCATCATTGTACTGAAGTCCAGAATTGTAAAAGAGTTAAAACATGTGAGGATATTTGCCGATTATAATGAGATATCTGCGTTGAGTTTCAAGGCATATCTAGACTATAAAATGATATTAAATATTGGTGACAGAGAAAAGTGCGAATAACTATGCACAAGGGAAGAGCCAATCTCCATTATGTGCAAGACGGTTGGCTTATTTGCAACCATGGTTAATTTTCTGTCAAATGATCAATCATTACCATTTGATCCTAGCGTCGTTATTTTGGATTTGAACTTAATACTTATTTGGAACCTTGGTTAGTTTCTCTATCAACTAATCAATCTTGACCATTAGATAATTTGATCCAAGGGTCATCAGCTTATGAACTGAGTTTTTATAATAGTAGATGTTATTTTTTATTTGCAACCATGGTTAATTTCTCTGCCAAATGATCAATCTCGACCACTAGATCATTTGATCCAAGGGCCATTGACATTTTTTGTTTTTTTACATCAACCTTGACATTTGTTTTTGTTAAAATGGCATTGTAGTATATCTATATATGATGATGTGGCGTGCAGAAACGCCTTATTTGGAAGTATCGATAATTTCAATTGTAATATATATATATATATGATGATGTGGCTTGCACAAACACAAAGGCCTTATTTGTAAGTATCGATAATTTCAAAGTAATACAATTCCTATAACCTCGTTCACGTTCTCCGTCCAAACAGAGTGTTCCCGTTTTGGTTCGATTTTGTATTTACGCCTCTTGCCTCCTTTCAGTATACAATGGATGTCAACAGCAGCCCGTTTCCTCGGAAGAAGCATCAGGTGTTCGTAAGTTTCCGTGGAGAGGAGCTTCGGTGTGGTTTCGTCAGCCATCTTGTGGAAGCTCTCCAGAGACATGGGATCAACGTTTTCATTGACAAACTCGAGAGCATTGGCCAAGATCTTGCCAATCTTTTCACGAGGATCGAGGAGTCTACCATCGCTTTGGTGATATTCTCCAGGAGATACACGGAGTCAAAATGGTGCTTAGATGAGCTCGTGAAGATCAAGGAACGTGCAGATCAAGGCTTGCTCAAGGTGCGTTTGTTTGTCTCCCTGTTTTAGTTTACCTTTTCATTAAAAAAAAAAAAAAAAAATCAAATTCATACCGATATCTTTGTTTCCAGGTCATTCCTATTTTTTTCAAAGTGAAACCAATCACTGTGAAACAACTCAGGGGAGCGTTCGGTGATCAGTTCAGGGATCGAGAGTGGGAATATCGGTGTGATACACACAGAACGGAGAGTTGGAAGGCAGTGCCGTCTTAACCTATATAATAGCCCCGGGCGAAACACCGACTATGGACCTCTTTTTTAATATTCTCTATGTTTTTTCTTCACTGCAATTTTTATACTTGAGTTCTAAGACCTGAAACAAATAGAAAAAAAATATCAATTCTTTAAAAGACGAGAAAACAATCACATGAAACGTTTTTTTCTAGCTTTAGTTGAT